AAAGGGAGGAGGAGGAGGAGGAGGAGGAGGAGGAGGAGGAGGAGGAGGAGGAGGAGAAATGGAGCTGTCAGTCCCAGCCTCGTAAAAGCTGAAGCCCACCCAAAGACGAGCAAGCCAATGCGCCGATTCGCACTCTCATACACAGCGCGTCCAAAACGGCCGACAACCCTGCTCTTCTCTTCCCAGCTTGGCCCCGAGACTGGGCTCCTCAATGTGAGATTTCCGGACCCGAAAGACAACCCAGACTGGTAATCTGAGCAAGATTGGAGCTGTCGATCGGTCGGTTCGCCATCCGGTGGATCACACCTCGGGAGGGACTCTTTATATGCACTCTTGCTCCCACGTTGCAAAAAAAAAAAAACCCGACCGCATGCATCTGGATCTGGCGGGAACAATGGGGATGGGCTGAAGTAAGACCCGATCAGGCAGATGAGCCTTGTTCACTTGGGATGGCCTCGGATGGGCGCGGTGTTGGTCCTGGCTATGCCTTGGTTGCTAGCAGATGGAGTAGATGTGTTGGGGTGCTTGTGCCAAGAGTCGTATTGTATCCGACGAGCACCTCCTCTCCCGTCACCCGGATAGTTCATCACCAGATGCCCAATTCCGGGAAACCTCGTACGAGATAATACTCGGTACTTGGCCGGCAAGGTTACCGAGCATCTACGGGGATCTCCGGCCTGACAGGTCCACCAGGTCCACCAGTTCCCACCAAAAGGTCAGTCACCTCTCTCCCCTTTCCTCGCCCAGTGGGAGCCTCCCGCTGTCCGGACATCCTCCGCTGTTGTTCTTGAGAGACCCGAACGGCAAGGTGATGCTTGTCGTTTCGGTGTTACCAGCTCCCGCCGTGTGTCGTGTTGCCACGCACGAGATGCGCAGATGCTCACGTCCCGTGCATCGTTGGACGGGGTACGGGGGAGAGTGCTGATGTGTATACATGGAGCTTGCCTCGTGTCGCGTGCGCAGAGCGAGCTGCAGAGTATCCGTCATCCATCGTCATCTTTGCTTCACTTTTCACGTCCCCCCGGGTTCCCCGCGGGGTGCCATCTTCTTTTTTTTTTTTTTTCCCCTGGTGTTGTGCTCTCTCTGTCTCTTTCCGTCGTGTCAGCTGCGCGACATGAATTGATCCTTTGGGATAAGGTCGAGCTGTCTGGGGGGGGGGGGGGGGGGAGAGCCATCCGACCCTGCTTCTGCGGGACGGCCTCTACGCGATCATCCTCAAATCTCCTCGTCGGGTTCTGGCCGCATGTTCCCCAGTCCAGATACCACCCATGCTGACCATGCAGATGACTGAAATTCTCCGGACCCCGATGTTGTCTGACGATAAACCCCCTCCTCCCTCCCCACCCCCCACTCTGTCGAAGTCGACCAAGGTATTATTCGGTGGACAGGGTGATTGTCGGGGTTGATCCCGTCTCTACCTCGTGGGCCTCCCCACAGGGGCTCCTTCCTGTCAGGGCACGCCATGTATGCTATTCTGAGCACCGCAATCATCGTGCCCTGCTATGCATCTATGCATGCCCTGCCTTCGTTCTGTCGCGTTGACGTTGTGACGGGGTCAAGACTGCTGTCATGTCCCCATCGGTGTATTGGGCTGTCGGAAAATGGACCTGGAATCTCCCAGATGATACAAGCCCCCCCCCCCCCCCTTGTCGGCATTGGACAGGCACCAGGGCTATTGCTCCACAGGCCAAGAATCCTTTGCCGTCGAGGTAGGTCTTCGAGGGCTACAGCCGACGGCAGGGCGCAAGACGAGGGCTTTTGAAACGGAAAGATCATGAAAGAGCTTGGCAGAGACTTCAGAGTGCTGGCTCCATCTTTACGGGAACTTGATCCCGACGTAGTGGCCGGCTGTCTCTGTCCCGCGGCGTCTCTGTCCCGCGGCGTGAGGCACCGGCAACAACTCGGCATTATTTTATATTTATATTTCTATTTATTTATATTTATGTTTATGTTTATGTTAACTCTACGTCGGTACTACGTCATGTCAGCATTGCAAAGTTCAACCGGTAGCTGCCTATGAGTACTGGTATATATTATCATTCCGTATTCGCTCACCGGAGTAATCCTTCCCCATCATCCCCTTCATCCTCTCGAACGAGGACGCAGACCGGTCAGGGAGATGAGATAATAATACCCATGACATGAAGAACGTAGTTCTCTCGTACAGTCCTCTACAGTTCATGTGGCACCGACGTGCATCTCGGTGCATCGCCGTGCATGGGCCGTGCATGGCCATACGCACAATAGTGGGGACGGGTAGTGAGGTTGTTGACGAACCACGAGCCTCGCCTTTTGTTAAGAGACCGAAACATGCATGGTCGTGGCCCCATGACTGTTTATTTTTTTATTTTTTATTTTTTCATTTTTTTTCCCCTTCTGCTTCTACCAACCTTGCTCTGGTAATCTTGTCTCTCTTCTCTCATCTCTCATCAGGTTGGGACGGGACAAGCAGTTCTCCGGGAAGTTACGGTGACCGCCTTGGCTGTGTTCGGTATCATCTGTGTCATCAAATCTCCCCTCTCTTCCATGGATCATGAGTCTTGGTGAACCCCGCCTCCCTGCCGATATCGCGATGTAGTTCCCTAGGTGGTCCCCTAGCTGATCTCTGTATCTCTGTACCTGCCAACTGCAGTCCCCCCCCCCCCCCTTTTAGCGGGCACTGTACCTACCGGCTTGCGGTTACATCGCCCCCGGCCCGGGCGACTAATAATTCCCCGCCGTCTACCCGCCTCTCCACCATCTTTTTCTCACCTCTTTCGATCACGCCTTAACGATTTTTTTTTTATTCTTTTTCCTTCTCTTTGTTTTCTGTCTCTTCCCTTCTTCCCTTTACTTTTTCTTCTACTATATATATATATATACACAATATATATATATATATATATATATATATATGTACTAGTGCAAATACTAGTGCAGAGAAGAAGAAAATATCATCTTCATTGTCATCTGTCTCCCATCATGACTACTACCAAGAATGCATCTGGTAGACCTAAACCTAAGCTGCCGGTTGAGCAGTTGGCCATCCTGGGTAAGAGAAAAAATCACCTACCATCCTCTCCATCTCTCTCCCTCCCTTCTTCGATGTCCCTTCCCTCATCACTCTCACGTCACAGCTTATCCCAAGTGGGATTCATCCCGCGTAGGACTGACTTGATCTCGTGTGTCTGTTGTCGTCATGACCATCTTCCCCTTCTCACCGGTTGTCTTGTCGTGCTACTCTTCTCTCTCTCTCTCTCTCTCTCTCTCTCTCTATCTCTCTCTCTCTCTCCTCTCTCTGTGTGTGTGTCATACCACCAGTGGCGACGCGTAATACCGTGAAGATTCTCTCCCTCTCTCATATCTTCACGGCTCATTACATCAAGTAGTAGCAAATATGCTCTGCCAGGTACCCTCTCTTGTTCTCGACAGACAGGAAGAAACACAACCACAACCCCCCCCCCCCCCCAAACATCGTTCGATCCATTGTGCTGACCAAGATCCGACTCCAGCCGCCGTCCGCTTCGCCGAGCCGGTGGCATACACCTCCGTCTTCCCCTACCTGCCGGAAATGATCCGAGACTTTGGCGTCGAGCAGAACGACATTGCCCGCTGGGCAGGCCTCACCTCGGCCGTCTTCTCCATGGCCCAGAGCATCACCGCCGTCCCCTGGGGCAGGGCCGCCGACCGCTACGGCAGGAAGCCTACCCTCATCCTCGGCATGGTAAGTACCATGATCTGCTTCGTCGCATGGGGCATGTCGACCAGTCTTCCCATGGCCATCACTGTTCGTGCCATCCAGGGAGGTGGTAACGGAAACGGTATGTACATTTCATCAGCATACACGGTGATGCGGAGAAGAAGAAGAGGAGGAGGAGGAGGTTTTCCACCTTTCCCCCGCTGACCTGATACAACAGTCGGCATCATCCGAACAATGGTGGCAGAGATGGTCCCTCAAAAGGAGCTGCAACCGCGCGCCTTCTCCATCATGCCCCTGGTCTGGTCCATCGGATCCGTCGTCGGCCCCAGCTTCGGCGGCTTCTTCGCCCAGCCGGCAAAGCAGTACCCCTCCCTCTTCGGCCACATGGCCTTCTTCAGGAGATTCCCCTACGCCCTGCCCAACCTGGTGGCCTGCATCTTCTTCGTCGTCTCCCTCGTCATCGCCGCCCTCTTCCTCCACGAGACCCTCGCGGCCAAGAAGGGCGAGCACGACTGGGGTCTGCTCGTCGGCAAGCGCCTCTCCCGCGCCTTCAGGCGTCGTCCCGCCGGTCCCGAGAATCGTCTCCGCAGATCCTTCGTCGACGGTGAGGCCACGGCTCCCCTTGTCCCCAGCAAGGCCGTAGTTTCCGGGAGCGGCAGCGGAAGTGGCAACCACAATGACAGCGGCGGCGGCGGCGGCGGCGGCGGCGGCGGCGGCGGCGGCATCGATGACAATGGCAAGAAACAGCACCGTCACGTCGTGAAACCCCCCAGTCTGAGAGACGTGCTCACCCGTCAGACCGTCATCAACCTCGCCTCCTACACCTTCCTCGCCTTCCACTCCGTCGCCTACGATCAGAACGTCACCGTCCTACTCAACCATCCCCGCGAGTCCAACGCGTTCGCCGGCTTCCGCTTCCCCTTCTACTTTAACGGCGGCTTCGGCCTCAAGTCGGGCGAGATCGGTACCATATTTACCCTTTACGGAATAGCCTGCGGTCTGATCCAATTCCTCGTCTACCCTCGGTTGGTATCTGCCTATGGAGTTCTTCACTGTTTTCGTATCTGCTGTATGTCTCTCTCTTCTTCTCTTTCTTTTTATTTTTCCTCCCCTTCCTCTCTCGCCCTTATTCCTCCGTTCCCATATGTCCATCTCTCTTCATCACATGATGATGAGAAGAAAAGGAAAAAGAAAAAGAAAAAGAAGAAAAAAGACCGCTGACAGGAAATCATAGCTCTAATCCTCCCAATCTCCTATTTCCTAACCCCTTACACGGCCCTCTTCGAAGACTCAACCACGCGCTTCGTCGCCCTCGCCATCGTCATGCTAGTCAAGGGCTTCGGCATCATCATCGCCTTCCCGTCCACCACCATCCTCCTGACCAACTCGTGCACGTCGGTCCGCGTCCTGGGCACGCTCAACGGCTTCGCCACGTCGCTGAGCGGTCTGGGACGCGCCTTCGGCCCCCTCCTCACCGGCATGGCCTTCACCTGGGGTGCCAACCACGGATACATCGTCGCTCCCTACGCCTTCCTGACCCTGATCGCCGCCCTGGGTGCCATCCCTGTCTTCATGATTATCGAGGGTGACGGGCTGGCCTCGGAGTCTTCTGATGAAGGGGAGGACGAGACGGAGTCTGACGATGAGTATGCTGTCATTGACGAGGCGGACGGGGATGAGTGCGAGCCTCTTTTATCGGGACCGACGACTTCTTATGCTGCTACGGCTACGGCTACGAGTAAGCGATGAATATGGGGAGTTGGGGGGG